GGCAAGACGGATGATGTATCCAATAGCTCAGACCTGGCATAGGCAGGCACACATCAGTTCTTGAGGGGCACTGCTTGATCACATCAGGAAGGGAGCAGTAAGGCCACCACTGGTTCTTCCAGACTAATTAAACTGGAGGACTCTTATCGCTCTTCATTCTTAAAGGGGCCAGTATCTGCTGCTTTGTTCCTAACCCCTAGAAATTAAAGGGTATAAGGGCTTTAAGCATCTTCCAATCCTGCATTGCCAAAACAGCCTGCCTGGTGTAGGCACCTGGAGGTGAGGTGAAACACTGCTTCAGTCCTTTATTCTTCAGACCTTCTAAGGTCTCAAATCAGCATGTAACCCATGAGGGCACAGATATCTCTTCTGTCTCATCAATAACATACACAACACCTTCTGTGGACATCTTCCACGGGAGGAAGAGGCGAGAGGCAGCAGGTCTTTAGACATCAGGTTCTCTCATTAAAGCAGATACACAAATATCAACATATCAAAATCAGCCCTCAAAACCTTTTTTAAATCCACTATATAGCTACGAACGTATGCCTATTTTTAGTATCAAACATTTCATTCACCAGATCGAGCTGTATTACAGCTGGTAATCACCAGTCAAATGTTCTCAATCATGGACATACTGGCTCGTAATACTTTTTAAAATGGACTTTTTTAAAAAGTGCCTCGCAGCTAGACTTAAAAAACATATTCTTGCCATGCCTGTTTTAGTAAGGGATCAAATCACACAGTGAAAGTCTTAAGGCAGGTAACTAGGGCTGTTTTGGTTGTAACTTTGCAGTTGCCCACAAAGACTTCATTTAGTCCTGTTCAAAATCTAACAAAGATAAAATTACTCTGATATTAACCAGATGTGACTATCAGATGTTTTAGAAGAGAGGCTCTCTTTATGGTTCCCAAATTGTTAACCTCAAGCTTCCAAGAACCTCAGCCCTACCAGTAAAGATCTCTGTTAGATGCCTCAGGGAGCCCAAAGGTGGTCTGGACTGAAGACAAGGCAGGAGAGAAAGTGTTCTGACCAGAACTTTCCTGAGTTTATCCAATTTATACTTTTTTTTATTAGATAACCCCTAGTGGTTTCATTTGAAGGAAGAATTAGAAATGTTAAAAAAAAAGAAAAAGAACATTGAAAACCTCTGTCCTAGATAAATCCCCTTGATCTTAAAATCAGCCCACAAGGAAATCATTGAGCTGGGTAGCCCAGCAGAGCCATTAGCTAGTCAGTTCTTCCACTCACAACCAGTTCCCTCTGATGACAGTCCAAGGGAGTTAGCAAGGTGATACTCTTCTAGCAAGTTGAGAAAAATCCAGTTTCTTTAGATTATGAAACACATGACAAAAAGCCTGCTAACCAAAAAACCTTTATTTTGACAAATTGTAGACCACAAAATATGATTGCGAGCTGCCACTACTCACAGGGGAGATTTAATGGTATTAGAGAGTAAATGCCAGGACTCTGTGGGAGAAATCTATTTTCATCTGGGATTCTCAGCCAGAGTGTCTTCCCAAAAATTGTGTAAAATGCCTGCCATTCTCATGACTCCTGACCACCAGACTCTCATTTCAATGGTGTAGAAGTAGAGAGGTAAAGCACATCAACACACTCTAGGAAAAGACCACCAGAAGCACATATTCAGTTAATAAGCTGGGTTTATTACACATCGCTGAGATGGAGAATGTACAGCAGAGGGAACCATGAGAATCTCAGTAAGAGACTGTTGAAAAGAACCTATTATTAACAGCATTTGCGCTTTGGTTGGTTTAATTTTGAGAGGAGTCTAAAGAAGTAGGGCATTTTTCTAGATTGGATGTTGTCAGAAAGTGGAGATAATTCTATGATTGAATATCTCAATAATTCTTCCCTATAAGTAGGGCAGACTAGAGCAAGGATAAAGCTGTAATTGATAAAGGATTAGCAGTCACTCATTCATGATAATATTGACTGAGAACAGGAAAGAGTTAATGCTAGGCACAAAAAGATACTGTTCTTGATTGTTCACACTGGGTAGGACTCACTGTCAATTGCTTTGTACAGGAGACCCTGTTGATTTCAGAAACTCAGTGAGTAATGTGTATGTCTACATCATATTCCAGACCATAGCTCTATACGTCACTCAAGGCATTCTTCTGTTCTCTTTGTGAAAGCCTATGTTAAATTGCCAATCATGCAATCATTTCATACAATTACCTGCAATAGGTCTACCTGATGATTTTAGTCACATTTCTGATGTCCAGAGTGGGCGAAACCAGCTAAGTGTCACTGCCTGTTTCTCAAACTAACTGTGGTGAAGAAACAGTTTTTCTCCCTAGTCAGTTCCAGACTAGTACTTTTGTACATACAAAATAAATATAATTTGATACAATAAAAACTAATTACTATAATAATGAAAAGATAGAAAACACCAGCCCATTTTCAAAACTGTTATTATTAGACCTAATAATGCACAAGCTGTCAAAATTGCTATAAAAGGTCCTAAACTCTTAGCCTCACTATTGATATTTGTCTTGTCACAAACCTGAGTCTGTGTAGAACATTTAAGTAGCACTGGGGTTTTTTAATTAAATTAAAAGCATTCTGTTAAACATGTCTGGTGTGCTGCCCATTTCAAACTCACAGAGCATCTGACAAGGCAGCAGAAAAGAAAAGGAGAAGAAATTTTATTCATGGTGAGGGTCTTGTCATGAACCCCCCAACTTAGTAAGGAGTAAACACCTGTGGCTACTATCGATGTGCAACGGTTTCAAAGAACACATGTAGAAAATTGAATTACTAGAATCCCTTCTATACCAGTCCAGTATTAATCTAATGAAATTGATTAAATTTCCCATGCAGGTAGGGTTTCAATAGCTATACTCTTGACAGGCAGAGATTTTCTCATCGGTATTTTTAGGCCAGAAGTGGCTGTACGTTCTATTAAGACAACTTGGCTTTTATTATAACCCCAAAGCCTCCCAAGACAATGGCTTTATATGCCATCAGGTTAATTCTCTCGTATCTATGTTATCTCAGTATCCATGTTCCTTCCCTAAGGTCAAGGAGGTCAAGCCTAAATTCCTACACGTAGCCAATTAAAGGACTCAGGCACCAGCTGATCAGCCAAATTTATCCACATTCTCACTCTCACCAATTAAACTTTGAAATGATCTCTTCTAAAGGTTTATCTTGTTCAAAACAATTCAATTTTAAGAAATCCTCCCCAACTCAATGAAGCAACTGCTGTGATTCCTCAGTTTGCTGATCTGTTCTCCTAAGCCTGCTTCTGTTTCTGCACGATCTGCTTTCTTCCTTTTAGCACACAGCTGCTATGAGCTGGAAACTCTAGAAAAAGCTTCCATGTGTACATGGCCACATCCTCAGCACTGCCTAATAAGGCCATACCCACCCTTTTCCTGATCAAACTCAAGGTCTGGGCCACTTCTCTCTGCTGAAAAATTCTGTTCCACTCATAAAATCTCCCCAGAAGATATTTTCCTTAACCATAATTTAAAGTAAACATAATATACTATATTAAATATATAAAAATGTTACATATTTACATATAATTATATAAATATTTACATATATTTTATGTGTGTGTTCTTTTACCAAACATCTTGGACATTTAAATTCTATGGCATTCATTTCTGAGTTCCTTGAGGGTGTAACCATGATTATTTCTTTTGCTATTTCACAGTGCCCAGGATAGTGCCATAACCAGCTTCCTGCAAATTTTTTAAATTTATTAGTTAATGAATCAAAGAACTTCTACTCATTTAAAATGAATAGAAGTTTTATACACACACACACATACACACATGTATTATTATACACACATGTATTATGCCAGCCCAGCACGAATTCTGAAGCATAATCCTAAATTACTGGTGTTCATGTTGCAGAAGTGGACCTGCTACATGCATGCCACTGTTTTCCATGCTGGTTTTTACAACCCTCCAGAACATCAAGAGTCAGCACAAGCTGGCAAAAATAAACTAAAGCATGATGAACTCACGAGCACTTGATAAAACATTGTATCTTAATTCCATTGGGTCGGAGTTATGCCTAAAGAGGACAACAGCAGAATATTCAAAGTATCACAGCAGGACCAGCCAAAATATTATAGAATAATTATAATCAGGAATGAAAGAAATATTTTGAGAACTCCCAGAAGCAGTGACAAAACAAAAGTAACAGCTCTGAATTCCCAAGAAACAGAAGCCTGATAGCCACTGAAATAAAAATGGTTGTTCTTTTGTAATACAGACTTGTAATCAACTGTGTATGGAAGAGGCATAAACACAAACACACATTTCAAATAACAACTGGAAATACAAAACAAATAAAAATAGTTCACCTATACAGAGCGTGTAAAGAAGGGCTGATTACTATTGGCCTGAACCACAAAACTGAAAAGCAACAAATGGGTGTTGAATTTGAAGATGAATCAAAGCCACCGCACAGAAAGCATTGCATCTTGCGTTCATAAAGTAATGCTACTTGGACATATTCTGACAGAGAATCTGCTCATTTCCCACGTTAGCATTCTCTGAGGAAGCTAGAGAACACTTTCAAAATGCTTTATTTATGAAGATGTCTAAAGTTTCCACATAAGGAATAAAATACTATCATTCTGAAAGAATCTATGCTTCTTTAGAAAGTTTTCAGAACACTTTGAACAAAAGAACATAAAATCCCCCAATGTAATACAAGGAAAAACATTAGCAAAAAAAGCAAAAAAAGAAGAAGAAAAGAAGTGCTAAAATAATTGTCTTTTGTTTCTTGGAATAATGTTGTCTTCACATTATTCCATGAAACTAAATTGTCACAAATTAAGCCAACATATACATCTTTAACTGCAAAATGCTTTCTAGTGTCTTTTTCTGAACTTAAAATATAACATAACAATGAAGCCTCCTTTCCACCTCCACCTTCCAAACCATGCAGAAGCCAAGGCTGCCCTCCCAGCACCTGCAAACTCATACACACAAAATGGAAGGAGACTTACCAGACCATCACAGTTGCTGATGGCAACAGAAGTTCCTGGAATGTTCACGATGTCACCAACATAAGCACAGTTAGTCTGCAAAGGCTCAGTTTTCCGGATTCTATCTGTAGCACTTCCTGGTTGATGGTTGTTAATGGGATCGGTTATATTCCCAGGCACCAGAGATGTCTCATGCCATTCCACAACAGCCCCAGGAGCTACTAGTTGAGTGTTGGGCTTTAGTCGCAGATGAAAATCTTTTCCAAATGCTGTGATGTTAAAGAACAACTGCTCAGGGTTGGAAGACACGTCCCTCGCTGATCTCTTTTTGTGATTCGCAGAAAGAGTATGGGAGAGATAGTGTCCTTCTAGATTTGTGCTCACTGGAGTCACCAACTCATACTCTCTGTATCTCTTTACTGGTAAATCTGTGGGGTGAAAAACAGAATTGTTGAACCCTGTACAATAAGATAACGCAGGAGAACATAACACAGACAAAATGTACCCACCTCACAAGACCATGCCTCAATATGGACATTCCCAAATCATCTCATAAATATTAAACTTTGAGAATAAAAATCATGTCCCAAATGCTCTTAACACCTGTGTTAGTCAAGAGTGAACAGCATTTTCATTTTGCATTCTCATTTTGCACCTTATTCCTTAAGTGGGACAGATTTCTACTTGAATATAAAAGTGCATTTGGAACCCACCTACAATATGGGTAGCCACTTACATATTAAACTGAATGTCACAATTAGCACTTAATTCCCCTGGCTTAGCACTGAACACCCTGTGTTCAATGAATCCTTTTTTAATTAAAATAGCATTATGTTGTAAATATTCACAGCTCATTAATACATTTGCAAACACAAATATAATGTGTCCATAAACTCTAAATGGCTTCCTTAAAAATCAAAATTTATCATTGGCATAATTTATATATAAATTTAATAAATTTATATATAAATTATATAATATATTTATATATATTATATAATTTATATAAATTATAAATTTATATATAAATTATTATGCCAATAATAAATTTTTTGATTTTTAAGCAAGCCATTTACAGTTTATTATTGGTATAACTGACATCTGCCAAAAACTTTTAACTATGTAGAAAAACTTTCTGATTGTTTTCATTTTTTCCCTGTAGAAATCCTGGAATTTAGACTATTTACAGTAACTACATGACATGAGCCTGTAATGTATACACTGTAGCTTACAATGCTGTGATTTATACCCATTTTTTCCACCATAACAACACTGACAACCATACTTCACAGGTGAGGAAACTGAGATTCAGGAGTAGGTGGCCTTATGTCCAAGGTCAAACAACAGCGAAGCCTGGATATAAATCCAAGTTGTACTCCAAAGCCCATATACTCATTCTGTGATACCATGCTGTGTTCCATAAACCTCCACTTTTAGAAAATTAGAAGAATGGATAAAGAAGAAGAAATGATCATCTTTAAATCAGATATGCAGGTACTGGTTAGTCAAGAGCAAACAGCATTCTCGTTTTGCATTCTCATTTTGCACCTTATTCCTTAAGTGGGACAGATTTCTACTTGAATATGAAAGTGTATTTGGAACTCACCTACAATATGGGTAGCCACTTACATATTAAACCGAATGTCACAATTAGCACTTAATTCCCCTGGCTTAGCCAAATATGAGTATTTTGTCTATCAAAATGCAAACACCCTTGAGGAAGAGAACACATTAAATGAACCATTAATAGAAATGATTTTAAGACCACAGGAAAATAGATACTAGAAAAGGAAACAAGCAGGGCAACAAGGGCTAAAAAAAAAGAAGACATTGAAAGGGAAATCTAAAAACATGAACTAAAAAGTTCCCCACTTTCCCAATTCTAGCCCTAGGCTAGTCCTCTAGTGTGTTAAAGTGCCCTAAAAAAATGATATGATTCACAAATACTGCTCACCTAAGGAAATCACAAGTTTTGTCATCCAGTAAAGTGTTTACAGCGTAAGATCCGTAAACGGACCTGTGTCTTATGCTCATAAAGTATCCTTGCAGAGTCACTGTTTTCATTATCTTGTTGCTTTTTACAAACCTCAGGCAATATGTAAAGTACCAGAAGACAAATAAAGGTGTTTACTTGTGCAACACGGAAATTCTTTCTGTGCATGTTTATCATTATGCCTCTTACAATGACCAATGTATTTAAACAAACTATCCCTTTTTATTAAATGAATAGAGCAAGCAACACTTGTAAATATTTACTAGGCAAAGAAGCAATGAGGACTGTAGCATGAGTCAAGTGATGCCTGATTCTAAAACTGGTGGCTAGACAATGCAATCCCTGCTGACCTAGACTCGGCACCAGCATAAACACAGGCACAAAGATTTGGTCCTCCTCACAACCAAATCCATGGTGAAAACTTTTATAAACTCTTGTTTAAAGAGAAAAAAAAAACTCAAAATTTAAGAGAATGAGCAAAAGTGTCACAGGTGCAGAGTGACGGGGGGAAAGTTTCCAAAGTAATATGAATCAATCCCTTATATGTGCACTGACAAAACCTAGCCCAAATTAACTATACATTCCTTAAAGACAAGGAACTCCCCCATTCAACTTGGTACTACCAATTTCACCATACAAGATTTTGTGTCAGAGTGTCTTGTCAGTTGGATTTGTTTGATGCATATTAAGTTAGAAATACAGGTAACCAGAGAACACTGGCCTTGTCTAAGCTGCTACACACACTGACTTACAAGATATATACCGAGGCCCATGGGTGTCTGACTGCCCCAATAATCTCAGTTATAGCTTTTTCTCTAACCATCGGTTGACTGTTCAAAGGAAGGAGGAAGCAGTACTTAATTTCAAAGTATGGATTTCCCATCTCCACTGAAGGGAATTCACACAACCAAAGTCTAAATCAGCATATCGTACTGGTGCCTGGATTAAGTGACTGGAGAACAAGAACATTTAGAAAAATGCAGGGAGGCTTCTCCATACCCAAGAAGATACTCAGAGTCTCATGCATACAGTAAGCCATACATCCTAGATGTATGTTCCATTTTCCACTGTCAGATAATATATTCTCAATTTCTATTCAAAATAAGAATGGTATGTTTCTATAAAGCTTTGTTTTCCCTAATGCTAAATAATAAATCATTCCTATAAAGTACATATTTCGTAAATTAAATGCTTCTAAGAGTCATTTTTCTGTTGGTAATTAAGGTAATGAGGAAAAAGATGGACTTGGTAACCCTTTGGATTACCATCTCCTGGATGGTAGTTAATGGAACTGACAAAGGAACCGCCCAGTCACCTGCCATTTATTATCAAAAAAACTCCAAGCTCTATGATTGGTGTTTGAGAATATATCATCTCTAATACTCACAACAATCACAGGAGGTAAATCCTGTTACCTCTATTTTATAAATGAGAAAGCAGAACTAGACGGCCTGACACATATAAGCAAAGAGCCAAAGGAAAATTGCAATTCTCATCATTTGACTCTGAAGGCCATGCTCCTATGCTCTCATTCACTTCTGAATAGATGGAGCATCTTGCTGTCAAATTCAATTTAATATCTGATTTATAAAAGAGAACTACAACAAGAATAACAACATTCTACCTACCTGTAGCCAGTCAACCAATTTTTCCTCTAATGTAGCATTAAAATTTTCTGCAAAAGGCTCTTAAATTCTAGGTTTTGGGGGGAGAAACTGGGAGGAGGGGCAGAAGCTCAAAGCAATCAACAGCATTTTAATCTCAGATTATAATCAAATCACATAAATAAACCAAATTATATTCAATATTAATTTACTGCATTCATAATTTTCACATTTTACAGGCCCAACTGCTTTCACAAAGCAGGAAAGCCAGTGGCTATTGAATGAACTGCAGTGTCAGAAAGCAGTAAGTTGAGTCCACTCGTGATCTTCAGCAAGTTCTTTATTTCCTCTTAGGCTCAGTTTCCTCAACTGTTAACTGGAGGTTAGTAATAGTTCCAACTTTATAAGTTTGGTGAGAGTTTTACATGAGATCATTCAGAAGATTCAACAAATATCAGCCATTACTAATTTAAATGTAAGTTAGACACTCATTAAAATAATGTTGTGCTCAACTTTAAAGTTAGAAACTGTAAAATTGTTAGTGGAGGTGGCTGACAGGCCACAGTAATAGGTATGTGAAGGTTTTTGTGGGCCCTAAGGTTCCACAGGCACAGGGAACTGGAGCCACTGTAAACTCTATTATTGGTAGCTTATTACCCAAACAACCCAATGCAATGATTTATCCACAACCCACTGTTATCAGTGCACATATAGGCATCTCCCTCCTAGTACTATGGATGAATTGTCAGTCATCTTACTTAAGAGCAAACCCTCTACACACATTCAAGCACAACATTCAAGCCCTTTTTGCCTTTTCAAGAAAACTGTCTTTTCACCTATGTTCTCTTTCTCTTTCCTCATCAACTTTCCCCACATTACTAGACCATTCCCACCAGCAGAAAAAGAAGCTGATATCATATCTCCCATCTTGGACAAATAATATTTTGGATGACATGCCCTCCTCTAGGTAATAACCCATTCTTTCACTCTCCTTGACAGCAAAAAGCTTAAAAACATTGATTAGATATCTCTAATATCATTCATTCCATTCTTAATCTTTCTTGAACACATTCCACTCCAATCAGCTTCTTTTGGAGTCACGAGTGATCACATGTTGCTGAAGTCAATAGCCAAGACTTGATCTTTTTATTTTTCATTTCAGCAGCATCTGACCCAGTTTCTCTTTCCTTCTCAAAATATTTTCTTTATTTCGCTTCCAGATCATCATTCTCTCCTTACCTCACTGGTCTCACCTTCTCATTCTCCTATACTAGTGTCCCTCCGTTTCCATGGCCTGGAAACACTAAAGTATCACGGGACCTGATACATCGACTCTTTTCCGTGTCTACCCTCTGTAGCTGGTGAGCTCCTCCTATCTTAAGACTGGATGCTTTTACAATTGTGTATCTCTAGCCCCAGCTTCAGCTATGAGCTCTTCTCTTATAAATCCAACTGCCTATAGAGTCTTTCCATGTAGATATTCACAAGGCATTTCAACTTATCATTCCAAAATTAAACTCCCAATCTTCCTGCTCTCATATCTGCTCCTCCTTTCCCAAGTCAGTAAATAGCAACCCTATACTTTGTTACTCAGAGCAAAACTTTGATTAAAATCATCATTAACCCTTCATGTACCACAAACTCAATCTTTTACCAAATTCTGTTGATCCTAGCTTCCAATACACATCCAGACTCTGACCACTCCTCAGTACCTCCCTGCTACAACTGTATGTAGTCCAAGCCAACATCACCTCAGTTTTGAATGCGCTGCTTAACTGTTCTCCTTGTTTCTGCTCTTCCCTTTAATGGATTATCCTCAAAATAGAGCTAGAATAATTAAAGTGTCACATCATGTCACTTT